TGTATTACCGAAGAGTCCCGAATGGGGACGAAACAGCTATCCAGTACTTCTTAATGGTTTTCAATGGTTCTGTAACCCACAACATTCCGAGATCAAACATGAAACAAATCAAATTCTTACAAATTAACTCTTGGAAATTAAGAAATCCATTTCGTTTGGATACTGTTTTTAAGTTTTGGCAAAATAATGGCTTCATAAGAAGGAGGCATTTGTGTTCTTGTAGAAGTCCAGTGGACATCTAACTCTCGTCTCAAACTATAGACGGGTTTATATTCAGATGTAAGAGTCACGGGAAGAGAATCAGTGTTCGAGATGTTATCTTAATTAATTTAATAATTTTAGGGTTCTTTTTCCTAAGTTCAAGCTGCAGCTATCAAATATACTATTAATGTGCCGTTGTCGAGCAGACAGCCATCGCTGTACAGACGGAGAATTCTTCGGTTTCAGCTGTAAAGTGGTATCAACGTCGATATGACTTGTGATTTGATAAGGAATAGTTTACTGTATTTACACTTACTCATTGGATTTTGTAAGTAACTTGACAGCAAATTAATGGGAATATGAACTTTCAGCTAAATTGAATGTATCAAAATGGTTATGCGAACTAAACAATTTTCTACTCTGGCAAATAAACATTATTGCATTGAAAAATTAGTGAATATATATACTCCATTTTATACATCACCAGGTCTCTAACTATTGCTACTTGATATCTTGAGGACTCCAGCCAAGACAGGCAGCACCTAGCTATGTAGGTCAAAATAACACCTTAACTAAAACGCTAAACTCAACATTATTATTACTCAGAATATTATCCCATTTGATACGGAAGACTGAGTCAGGGCACCAGTTGTGTATCACAGGCGTAAATTTGAACGGAGTAAACTATTCGGCTGCGCACACACACACACTTTGGTGCATCGGCAGATATCACGCCTGTGGCAAACATGACGTACGTTTACAAGTGTCAAATAAGCCTTCTGTGTTGTGACAGAGATTTCGTCCACAATCAGTCCATTTCAAGTGATGCCACCACTCTATTATTCTATTTTCTATCCTTAAAATAGGAGTCCATGCAAACCAATCCTGAAACTTCATTCAGCACTCAACAGACAGATAATTTTCCTCAAACGTACTCAAGCGTTTTAACAACGTATTCCGAAAGTTCCGTATTTTTTCAGCCTCATCACCTTAAGTAACAGCATCACTTTCACTACTTAGATCAATTAGGCTATTTTCCGATAACAGTTCCTGAAAAATCGAAATCAGTCAGTCTCATGTCTATTAGCATACCTATGGTGAAATTAAACAGGAATTGGGACAGTGAGTATCTTAACGAATACCTCTGGTTGCTGTTAACACGGAAAATAAGGTTCCAGTAGCTGCTGCACAGATATATAACACCCAGGTAAAGGACTTCAATTACTTCAATAGTTCTTCTTGATATTCTCTTCACATCAAACACTTCACCTTACCACTCAATCGACACGGTCAAATGTCGTCTTCAGGGAAACAAATAATGCAAGTGTTGAACACAGGCAATTATTCCTATGTTCCATAATATGTCAAAGAGTGAAGATTTAATCAATACACCTTCCCCCTGTCCTGAAGCCTAAATTCCTGGTTTCATCGAGCCCACTCAATCTTCTTCGCAGATCTATGCAATCTAGAATCTATTAATCCCTTTCTTATAAACTCGAATGATCAACATTCTATACCAGTTAGTCCAGTTGAACTATTTGACATCTCCAAACATGCATTAGGTAATACCACAGTCAATCTAGTCGGAGATTCATTGGGTTCAATGGCCTTCCCTCATTCCACTCAACAAATAAGTTTTGCATATTTGTTTACAGTTGGATTAGACTTTTCTATATCCTATTCAGATGAGTGATGGATGGTGGACAGCTGTAGTACAACCGGGTATATAAGCCTGTTGAAGTGCCCTTGAACATCTTCTACACGATTCTTTGATGTTCTTTCCTAAGAAGTTTTTAAAACAGCATCCGTACACTATCATAGCTTTCTTAGAACCCGTTTTACTAATGATGATAGTCAGTAAACACTGCTCATACATTCCCACTTCTTTCGCCTACATTGCCTGCCATCGTTTTCCAGTCGTGGTAAAGACTTTTCACCCCTTCATGTTTGAGCATTTTTTGCTCCTCGTTGTCGTGTTCACACTATGACACTATCAGCCTCCTTATATCCACAGGTTCAGATGGGACTACAGAAGTCCACTTTGATTCACTAACCCACTCTAGACTGTAGGTTATGAACAAGCTTTGCATAAAAATATATATACTACTGATTGATCGATATGAGTAGTTTTGAACTAGCACTTATATCGACTAGTGTCGAAAGTAGAAAATCAAGTTCATACGCGTATGTTGTGATTGTCTATAAAATAAAAACATTCAAACTTCTATTTACGACTTTCTATGGAGATTTTCAATTCATTCAAATTATTATTATGTAATCCTAGATTACATTTTTATTGACTAAATTTTACTTTCAACTTTGAAGGGAATAAAGATAATGCTTGATTTCTCAGTACAAATGTCTGTGCTAAGTAGGTTACACATTGTGTGACAAATAACTTTGATTACCATGAGATGTAATATGCTGTGAAATTCGCAAAAGATGAGTCATCCTGAATAAAAAAACCATGACTTACTTCATACGTTACTATAGCAACATGTGGGAGTACCGCAAAATGAAACTGCAGAGTATACTAGTCTTCTTAACCAATTGGTGAACTTCACAGAGTAATCTCTGTTGACAAGTATTCTTCTTGATTGGAAGATAATCAATCAAGATGGAGAATACCACAAGTAGATATGTGAATTCAAACTACTAGTGTGGCGTGAAATAGACTGATAGGAGGCGACCAGGTGTAAAGGTGTTTACTCCTCAAATCTGGACCTAGTTTACGTTGTGAACATGAAACGACTTCATTGGACAACTTGTTTAACCCTGACCCAACTGCCAACCAATCAGAAGAGTTTATTGTCATCTTACTTAGCCGAACTTTAATATGGCTAAGAATGTATAAATATGATATGTTTTTCCTTAACAAAGGTTCGTTGCCAAGTCTCTGGTCTTCGGCGCCGCTACAGTGGGCAATGAAGATCCTATGGCTTGTTGCTTTCGAAGAAGGAGATATATGTAGCGGGGCTTCGATGCTGTCAGTGAGTTGGTAGATGTCCAAGATTCAATGGTAAAGACAGTTGTTATGGGAACTCTTCTGAAAGGTCGGGCAGAGGAGGTGTACGAAGATGTGGGGCTGACAGGTAGTGGATGGTTGAATGGTTGGTGGCGGAGTCAGACAGCAAGACTGAGAGATGAGAGGCAATACAGAAGTTCCGTGCCGTGAAGCTGGGATCGGACGGAAACCCACTTGTACTAATGGTGAAGATGACAAGTCTACCTCGTCGAGCACTTTCCACACTTGATGAAGAGTCTGAGACACAATTGTTGGCGTCTCAGTTTATTGAAAGTGTTTCCGAACACATTGCTCAGAGATTACAACTGATCAACTCTGCACAACATATGAACACCAGTGATTTCTCAAAGATCACAAAACAGATACTGAGCGCAACCGTAACCGCAATAGAGCTACGGAGAATAATCCACTAGGAGCAGCGCGAAGTAGCGGCACTGCCAATGAGTACCGAAAAAGATCAGTGCTTTGAATGTAGCAAACCAGGACACTGGAGATGTTACCCAGGAAAACGGGGAAGAAAAAATTCTAGGCACTATAATGTGTATTCACACTCTCCAATAAGACTAGAAGTAGTGGAAGCAAGCCATGTATTCTAAGTTATTACTGAAAGGCAAATAAGTCGTATGTTTAATACCTACAGGGGCGGCAGTCTCGCTAATGGAGAAGAATCTATATTTCAGCGTTGGGCCATGTTCACTGACAGTTCAAACAGTAGGTGGACACGTATTAAAAATCACAGGTATGTCAAATTGCAGTGTTCATACTGAGTATCGCAAAGTAACCTTTTTGTTATGCCTCAGTTACGGGGAACAACTCTTGGGGCTGATTTTCTGCGATAGGTTAGTGCTATAATCAAGACGAAAGACGCCAACCAATCAGAATAATTTATTCTCCTCTGACTTAGTCGAACTTAAATATGGCTAAGAATGTGTAAATATGATGTGTTTATTCCTTAAAATAAAGGTATGTTATCAAGTCTTTCATCTGTTCCTATTACAATTCTTTATGGTTAACTCTGTTGGATGAACCAGTCATTAGGATAAACTGAATTTCTTAAAGTTACTATAAATGTTTATTCACTACATAAAGATGTTATAATAATAATAATCACTTTATTCCAAACGGTAGTAACTACACAGAATGAAACTTTCAGCGTTTTTATACATATTGCGACAATTTAGCTCCTTTTACAAATATGTACATACATAAAATTTAAAATGGTAATAATAATAATATTAATAATGAAACCACTATAAAGAGAATATCGGTGGAAACATAATGAAGTACAAGTAGATAGTATCATAGATAATACATTTAATTCAATTTTAGATTTTCCCGTCGATTGATTGGACCGAAGTGGTCAGTTTCATCACTCACTGCGGAATGCAGGTACATTCAGTGACGAGTCCCAAATAGGACGAAATGCGCATCCTGGATTCCACTGCTAGTCACCATCCACCAATTAACTTCTAATATATAATAGATATATTAATAATCTTTGTTATACTTTGTGGTTCAGTTACTGATTAAAAAAGTTTATAAGTTCTTTTCTGACATCTGACTCTCTCTTCACACAAAACCCTTGCTAAATATGGTGGTATGGTAGAATTTTTATATTTAGTAGCTGTACGAGCGTAAATTCTTATGAAGTTTCTTCTGGTTCATTCCCCGAAGAGATACAAGGCAAAAGTTGAGAATAAAGAGGATGTTCTGTATCAGACAAGATAACTTTAGCCAACTGCTTGCAAGAATTGAAGTGCCTATCGACAATAGTGTCGGTCGGTCGGTCGGTTTTCGACATAGAACTTTGCACATATGTGCGGCAGTTCAAGTCGCCACAATCTATGTAGCACGCAAAGCAAGAGAAGAAAGTAGAAGAAATGCATAATATAGACAGTAAACAGAGGTGTGAGACAAAGGAATAGTAATAACGGAGAACAAAAGTTTAATTGGAAATCATAAGTCACAAGGAGTGGATGCATCTGCGCCACTGAGAACGATTTTGAGCCATGTCACCAATTGTTTCCAACCATTGGTTTTTACCATCCCGAGGGCCCCAACCAGGAAGTCTACATCTTCCTACGTGGCTTAGATTAACTGTTGTGGATTTCATTGATTGGTGCCATGTTTTGGTTTGACCGCCGCTAGCTCTTTTCCAGCCTGACCCTATATCAGCTAACATTGCCCGTCGAGGAAGGCGATGACTAGGCATACGTAGCACATGTCCTAACCATCTCAGTCGAAGTAATTTCACAGTCTCGTCGATTGATTTCCCCGCCTTACCTAGCACTCGACGCCTAACCTCAATATTGCTCACCTTATTATACCACTTCACGCGGGAGATAGAACGCAGACACCTATGATCGAAGACAGCTAATCTTTTCATGTCTTCTGCTCTCAATGGCCAGGTCTCACAGCCATAAAGGAGGACGGAGCGGACTGTTGAGCAGTACACACGCCCTTTGGTCGATAGTCGGATATCGCGTCTACGCCAGAGACGGCGAAAACTGGCGAATGCGAACCTAGCCCTCTGTATTCGTGCTGAAATTTCGTCGGAGATCAACCCGTTGGGGCTGATGGTACTTCCCAAGTAAGTGAAGCGGTCAACGTGTTCTACCACTTCACTTCCTATTTCTAATCTAGGGGTCGATGAAGTCCAATCCTGCAGCATCATCTTACATTTTATAGGGGCGAATCGCATGCCAAACATGCGGAGATTGTTGCTCAGGGTGTTCAGTAGACTCTGCATTTTGTCAGAGTCCTCGCCTAGAAGGACTATATCGTCCGCATATTCTAAGTCAACGAGATTCTTCCCTGGTAGCAAGTCAATCCCTGAGTCGCTGAAGTGAGTTAGGGTTAAGTCCATTAGTACATCTATGATGAAATTGAATAGGAATGGGGATAATGGGCATCCTTGACGGACGCCACTAGTCGTCACCACTTCAGATGACAACTCGCCATAAGCCCTCACCTGGCTGCATGAGTACGAGTAGAGTGCCTTAATCAGTGCAATGTATTTTCTTGGCATTCCCTTTACAGCCAAGCATCGCCAGAGAACCTCCCGGTCGACAGAATCGAATGCCGCCTTTAGGTCAAGAAATATAATGATTGTCGGACGCCGGTAGGAATGCCTATGTTCTAGAATCTGTCGAAGGGTGAAGATGTGATCAATACACCCTCTACCTGGCCTAAAACCTGCCTGGTTTTCTCGTGTTTGTGTCTCCCGAGCACCACTTAATCTACGCAGTATTATTGAGCCTAGGATTTTAGATACTATATTAGTCAAGCTAATCCCTCTGTGATTATCACAAGACGACTTGTCCCCCTTCTTGTATATCGGGATGATCAGTGACTTACACCAACCCGATGGGACTTCCTCTGATTCCCAGACGCTGCCTAGAACCTCCGTTAACGCAGACAGTAAACTGTCGCCTCCGTACTTAAATACCTCTGGAGTCAATAAATCAGGTCCCGCTGCTTTGCCTAGCTTCAGATTGGTGACAGCTTTAGTAACCTCGGTTAAGGACGGAGGACCTGTGTCTATCTCCCATTCAGGGAGGTGTTGGATGTCCGGTAGGTTAAGTGTGGCTGTGGGCCAATTAAACTGCTCCTCATAGTGTTCTTTCCAGCGCTCCAGACGTCTATCCTGGGAGCTAATTATGGTGCCATTTTTCTCGGAGATTGTTTCGCTTATCATTTGTTTTTTACCACCTGTTTCCCTGATAAGCCTGAATAGTTGTCTGGTGTTGCCTATCGCCGATGCTTTTTCCATCTCTTTCGCCTTTGTCAACCACCACTGTTCACGGTCCTTGCGGAGACTTTTCGTAAGTTTCCTCTTGTGCAGCTTTCGCTCCTCATTGAATTCGGAGCTCGCCGGAATAAGTCTTCTAGCATCTATCAGTTCGGATGAGGCAGTCGAAATCCAGTGGTTTTTACTCACCTTTGGAATTACCTTATTCACAGCTTTTACAGCTGTATCTATGGCTGACTGAATATTCTTCCAGGCTTCTTCAGGGTGAGCGCAGCTGTCAAACTCAGATATGTGTTTAGCTAGTTCTTCCTCAAATAGGGACTTAGTTCCCTGGTCGAGCTGGGGACGTGATGGGTTTACCGCTCGCTGTTTCCTACGTCCGTTCAGTCGTAAGCACACACGAGCGCGGACCAGTGCGTGATCGGTATCTACACACGTGTTCCAGAAGGAGCGACAATCTCCTACCGACCCACGCCAACGATAGCTTATTGCTATGTGGTCTATTTGTGTCCAGCGTTGATTTGATGATGGGGGTCGCCAGGTCAGACAGTGTCTCTCCTTGTGTTTGAAGTTAGTGCTTACAAGATACAAATGATTAT